CCCCCCCTCCCCCCCCCCCCCCCACCCCAGCTGCTTGCTAGCTAGCTCACTGCTGCCCAAAAGCTCCCAGCCAGGGAACTCCACCAGTCTATTTATCTGAGCCCCGGGAAAGCTCCGTGACGTAGCTGCCCATATATGGACAGACAAAGCCCAGCCGAAGGGGCGCGACGTCACAATGGAAGCTCCTCACAATGGAACATTAGAAAGCAGGAAGCTGGCCGCAGCCAATGTGCAGCGTCCGCACCGCTAGCCGTTCTTAAAAAAAAAAAAAATTAAGAAAGAAAGAAAGAAAGAAAAAAAGAAGAAAAGAAAAAAGAAAGCCAATTGGAAGATTAGAAAGAAGGAAAGTGGGAGGAGAAAGGAAAGAAGGACGAAGCCGAAAGCAAAGCGCGCGCTGCGTAGTGCATAGTCGAAAACCCAGTAACCAAACATGTAGGTTTTTATTTGAGGTCTGTATTAGAGATAACATTTAGGGGCTGGAGGGGTGGAATTGTTTGCAACTGGCCTCCAGCATTCCCAGCAGGGAGAGTTCAACTAGGAGACAGGTCCCTTAGCAGTCTGGGAATTGTTGGGAAGGGGGAGGTGACTGCTGCAATCCAGGTTCCCCCACCCCAACCCTATCCTTCCTTCAGCGTCCTACTCTGGGCTCAGGTGGAGAGAAAGAAGGAGTACTTCCCTTTGGGGAAGGGGTTCCAATGTCTCGGGGCTCCTTGGTCTAGTACCTAGAACTTTCCTGCCTACACCATTCTGATTCACCGCCCACAGTCCTGGCCCCTCCCTTGGCTCTTGACCGTGTGCTGACTCCCAGCTGTGCGCAGAAGTGGCCCAGGAATTTGTTGCGCAGGGGGCAGAAACCCCACATCTTTGGGGACGAGGAGTGAGTTTTTGGTGAAGAGCAAAGAGTGAAGTTTAGGGGATAGAAAACACGTGCACTAAATAATTCCCAGATAAATTCCCTAACGGTTCTAGAGCAAACCCCCTTTGGCCACAGGATGGCAGGAGGGCCCAGCAGGCCAGGGCACAGTCGCTGTTTACTGCAGCCGGCGAAGGGCTTGCGGCTGAATTACAGCAAGAAAATGCGAAACCCACAGTTTCTAAGCCGCCACAGCGGTCTCTCTTAGTCTCTACCCTCCTGGTCTCCCAAAAGGCTGTCCTCATTGTTGCCTGAGGGTGCCTTGCATTCAAGGGCGGCCCCTGTGCCGACCCGGGGTGCTGTCACCTCCCCGAGCGACAGCGGATCCCGGGGGTGGGTGATGTGTTCCCCGAGGCCTGCTCCTGAAGCTCGCAGCCTTGGCTGAGAGCGAGGGGGAGGAGAGGGAGGGAGCATGGAGGCGCGACCCCGAATCACACCGGCTTGGCGGGGGAGGATTCCCTCCTCAGTGGCCGCGTGGGCATGGTGAATCCCGCGTCCCCCGCTGGAGAGTCGGGGTTGGGGGAACTTGCATCTCTCACGGAGAGGGGGAGTGCTGACAAGGAGGAAGAGAGGATCCCCGGGCCTCACGCCGTGGGAGGTCCGTGCGGGGCCGGGGACATGTAGGAGGAACTCCCGAGCTGCGCATTGTGATGGGGGTGGATGACAACCTCACTCCTTCTCTCCTCCCCTCAGTTTGGTGGAGAACAGTGGGTGGGAAGGACCCAGACTCCCCCGGATCTTCTCTAGCTCTTAGGAAAGGAGGGATTCCCGCCGCCCATGAGCCCCCTCTCTGCTACCCCCGCCGCCGCTCCCTCCAGGCCACAGGCTACCCATTCCTGTGCTCTAGAGGCATTGCGCCCCCGGGTTCTCCTCCGCCCGCGCGGCGCGGGGAGACTGCGCGCTGCAGCGGTCCTGGGCTTCGGCCGGAATCAGGGCATGCAGCGCTTCCCGCCCCCGGCTCCATCCCTGGAGGGGGGAGCGGCCGGTCAGGGGCGTGGGCGGGGGGGTGGGCCTGGCTGGGTGCGGGGGGGGCCGCCGCGGCCGCGGGGGGGGGCGCGGGGGGGC